ATGCTGCTGTGTGATCCTTTAAAAAACTACATCGGGCAACGTTATTCCTCTGCTCCAAAATCTCCAAAATAAAATAAACAACATACACTTTGCAACGGCCAGCATCTCACTTATAGTAGAAGCCAAGGTCCTTACAAAGGCCTGCAGGGCCCTACCGACCCGGTCCCTGCTCACCCTTGGATTTCACCTCCGGCCCCATTCTCTCTCTCTCACTATGTTTCAGCCACACTGGCCCCTGGCTGATCCTTCAGCTCACCCAGCATCATCCCACCTCAGGGCCTGGGCCTTCACGCTGCTGCTCCCTCTGCCTAAAGCATTCCTCTTCCAGATAACTGCATGGTTTCTTTCCTCACTTCATTCCCATCTCTGCTCCCTTGGCATCCCTCAGAGAAACCTTCTGTAAGCCCCATATATAAAATAGCACCCCATGACCTGCTTTTTCTCCAATCAACATATATTTATTTCTCTACTCTCTGTCTGCCCAGTCTAGTATTTTACTCTTCTAGAGGAAAATGCCTTTGTCTTTTCTGTTCACTTCCATGTCATTAAAATAGAGCCCAACACATTGTGGGTAATCAATAATATTTGTTGATGAAATAAATGAATAAATAGAGCTGTCACTGAGGCACAAAACAAAGGTTATATAAAATCCAAAGGGTGGGGGGAGGGGGAATGGACAGAGGACCTGAAAAGACAATTCACACAAAATGAAAACACAGATGATTTGTAAATGTCAGACAAGATGTTCAGCTTCACTCATAATAAAAAAAGTGGAAATTAAAACTATGAGTAATCATCTTTCACCCATGGGATTGGCAAAGATCAAAAAGCTTGTTCGAGGGGCCGGCCGAGTGGTGTGTTGGTTAAGAGTTGGCTTGGGATGCCAGCTCTGAGTAGCAGGGCCCCAGTTCGAATCCCACATGAGGGCCAGTGATGCTGCGCCCTCTACAGCTAAGATGGTGAACAACAGCTCAACTGCTGCTGGGCTGCTGTGAGTGGCTGGCAGCCAGCGTGTGCTGCCGTGAGCCGCCGTGAACGGCTGTCCAATGGCCGGTGAGCGAATGCCTCACCCAGGAAGAGCACAATGATAATACCAACATGGGCCAGTGAAGCAACGTCCTCCACAACTAGACTGAAGAACAAAAGGACAGCAACTTGTTTGTTCCTCTTCCCCAATTCTCCAATGCTGTTCCCCTCCCCCAATTCCCCAATAAAATATTTTTTAAAAAAGCTTGTTCTAGGTAATTAATCATCAGGAAAATGCAAATTAAAACCACACTGAGATATCACCTCACTCCTGTCAGAATGGCCATCTCAATAAAACAACAAACAACAAGTGCTGGGAGGATGTGGAAAGAAGAGAGCCCTCATGCACTGTTGGTGGGATTGCAGATCGGTACAGCCCCTACGGAAAACAGTATCAGGGTTCTTCAATAAATTAAAAATAGAACTACCATGTGACCCAGCAATTGCACTTCTGAGTATTTATCCAAAGAAATCCAAAACACTAATTTGAAAAGACATATGCATCCCTATATTCACTGCAGCACTATTTACAGTAGCCAAGATATGGAAGCAACCTAAGTGTTCATCAACAGACGATTGGATACAGAAGTAGAACATACAATGGAGTATTACTTGGCCATAAAAAAGAATGAAATCTTACCATTTGCAACAACATGAGGATATTATGCTAAGTGAAATAAGTTAGAGAAAGACAAATACCATGTGATCTCACTTATATGTGTAATCCAAAAACAAAATAAATGAACAAACAGAAAGAGTCATGCGAGGTCAGATAATTAAGTTTATGAACTCATTCTAGAAAAAGCGCTACATGCCTCATTGCTGAATATCGCTACGGTCACCTTCGGAGTGCTCCCCTTGGGAAGCTATGCACCAATGCCAGCGCCTAGTCCACCCTTCAAAGCAATTTTGGAACTCTTTTTCTGGAATGGCCATCAGAGCAGTCATCGTATTACCCTTGATGTCCTCAATGTCATCCAAATGTCTTCCTTTTCAATATTTCCTTTATCTTCTGGTAAAGAAAGAAGTCATTGGGGGCCAGATCAGGTGAGTAAAGAGGACTTTCCAATAGTTACTTGTTTACTGGTTAAAAACTCCCGCACAGACTGTGCCGTGTGAGCTGGTGCATTGTCATGATGCAAGAGCCGTGAATTGCTGGCGAAAAGTTCAGGTTGTCTAACTTTTTCACGCAGCCTTTTCAGCACTTCCAAATAGTAAACTTGGTTAACTATTTGTCCAGTTGGTACAAATTCATAATGAATAATCCCTCTGATATCAAAAAAGGTTAGCAAAATCATTGCAACAAGTTTGTGAACTTAATTGTCAGACCTCGTAGGTAAGCTTTCTCCTCAGTAGAGCTGTAAAGATCTGCTTCTTAGGGTTTCTGATCAGGAAGACATCATTCCATGAGCACTCACTCTGCGCCAGGTATTGTCCTGAGAGCTTTATGCTTATTAACTTAGAGAATTCATAGAGTAATGCTGGAAGAACCCATTAAAATGCTATCTTCATTGCTGGTAGAAAAGCAGCCCTTTGGACACTAATTTGGCAGTTCCCCAAAATATTAAACATATGACCCAGCAATTCCACGGAAAGATGTACATATAGCTAAGAGAAATAAAAACATGCACTCATACACAAACTTGTGCACAGACATTCACAGAAGCCTTACTCATAATAGTCCAAAGAAATAATCCGAGTGTCCATCAACTGAAGATGTGGTTTATCCATACAACGGAATATTATTTAGCAATAAAAAGGGATGAAGTGGGCCGGCCGAGAGGCCCATTGGTTAAGAGCTGGCTTGGGATGCCAGAGGGCCGCAGTTTGGATCCCACATATGAGGTCC